AGAAACCGCATGGTTGGTAAACAATCACAGTTTAAATGGATCTATCTGGGTATAAATGCAGCTATTCTGTGAACAATCAGCATAATACAGAACAAGCATATAGCAGACAGGTCAGCAAGGAAATCATGGAGAAGTTTAGTGGATCAGATTAGATAAAAGTCCATCAGACAGCTGCAAACTTACCAAGACATGCCTGCTCATTTAAATCAGAGAAGCAGCCAAGAGGACCTGCTGACTCTAACCCTTTAAAACCAAGTGTATCATATTTGATACATGAGTTTTGGACACTTCTGCATCATTAGTGTGATATTTTTGTTCTTGAAAACCCTGACTTACACAATTAGACACTTGTAGTAAAGAGAAAATGTGTAAAAGATTATACAGAAATGCTTAATGTATCAAATTTGATACAAATAAAGGCTCTAATTTAACTTATTTTAGTATGTTTAGTATTAAAGTATGTTTTTTTAATTTCATCCTCACTTCAAAAGTTAATTGACAACTCAGAATAAATTTTAATTTTCTGTCAATTATTTTAATTATTTTCCGGTCAAGGATATAAAGGGCTAAAGGAGCTGCAGAGATTCACAGCGTGGGTACGCAAACATTTGGTTAGGACCACCTTTAGTTGACCAATCCACAAAGGTGATAGGGAGAAAGCCAGTTCTGTTAACTGCTACCCCGAAAAATGTGTAGGGGGCACAATAACAATGTGGAAGAGAGAGAGAGAAAAAAAAACACTTTGTGGAGGCTTCTCTTCAGCAGGTACAAGGGAGGAGGTTAGAGCTGATGGGGAACTAGAGAGAGTTAAATACAAGATAATCATGTAAAGACAACCAAAGAAAACTACTAAGAAAAAGAAGTTAGAGGTTTTAAAATACGGGAGACTGGGTTATTAATCCAGGAAGACTGAATGAAAATGTACAAAGAACATTTATTTTAAAGGGAGGAAGAATCCTTTTCTTTTCACTTCACAAATACAAACTATATGATGACCTAAGAAATGCAGTCTTAGTAAAATGAAGGAAAGAATAGGGATGTTAAGTGGCAAAATGTGTGAAAGTCAATGGGCTCCAGGACTGAAGAAAAAGACACCCCGGTAAGATATGAAAACAACCATCAATAAATAGACTGTGTAAGTATAATAATGAAGAGACAAAATGACCATAAAGAGATTTATACATGAAAAACTGGGACACAAAAGGGCCATAAAGAAATGGGCCATAAAGAGACTATAAATACAAAAAATAGCTGTTAAGAGAGTAAAATGGTCTTCAAAACACCCGTGAAAAAAATGACAAAACGACATAAACAACCTTTCAATAAATGCTAAAATGTACATACGGTATGAGAATTCTGCTCATTATCAATGTCTAATCAAATCGTCCCAATTCAACCAATTTACACCTAACATTGTGTATGTTACAGTTTTAAATAGGTGAAGAAAAATCTGTTTATAAAACAAAATAAAGAATTAATATACTGAAAAATAGCACACCCACAGCTGAAATAACAGTCTGTGTTACGTTAGCAGAAATTACTTTTTTTTTTAGCATGTTTAAAATGCTAAATGAATCTTCTTTTCTTCTTTACTTCTCTAATATAAGTCTGTTGATCTGTTCCTCAGCTGGGGTGAGGTCACCAGGCAGCTGCTTAGTTTGCTTATGTCATATTCCAAAATATACAATGTTACTGAGATGCAGAATTATCAAAAGGAGTTAAAGCATTTATAGCTAAAATAAAACAAATAAAAAAATGACAGGAGAAGAGTTAAAGATTAAATATTTAATATGTAGATTGGGCAGAAAAGGGACAGCAACTGAATTTTCCCACTTAATAATTAAAGAAATAGAAAAATATGAATGTTTACAAAATATAAAGTGAATATAAATGCAAACAATTTAAAGCATAAACTGTTTGCATTTATGTAAAACATTGCAATTCATGTAATCCCTAGTACTTCTAAAATTCTATAATATAAAATTAATGTATTGTTAGATGTAACTAGAGAAATTTATCAAATGAGGAGTGTGTAACAAACATTTTTTAATCAACCTAGATGTTTTATATATATATATATATATATATATATATATATATATATATATATATATATATATATATATATATATATATATATATATATATATATATATATATATATATATATATATTAGTGCTGTCAATCGATTAAATTTTTTTAATCGCGATTAATCGCATCAATGCCTGAGTTAACTCGCGATTAATCGCATTTTAATCGCAAATTTTTTTTCTGATTGAAAATCATTTAAATACTCTCGATGACATACAAAAAATACATACAGGCTAGGTTTGTGCCAATGTTCTTTTTTTTAAATGAGAACAGGTCACAGATACTGATTTATGCCATAGAACATATGGCAGGAAGATGGGGAGGCATGTAGCAAAAAATAACAAATATGTAGCCAAAAAAAAAGGCCCTGAAAACAGGCTGATGTAAAAGACAGTCTTTACAGTTAATACAGTCTTTTGAACAAAGACAAGCATTTTACCCTACTGCTATAAAATGTAGTACAGTTAACATTAGATGTTAATTAACCAAGATAATAATGAACAATTTTCAATCAATACATCAAAATCAATAGACCGACATCACTAGATGGAGGTAGTCTATGAAAGTTACTTTTCAGACTCTTAACAAAAATGAGAACACACACACACACACACACACCCACCCACACACAGACACACCCACCCACACACACACACGATACCGACCTGTGACAGCAAGAGTGCCGTAGCAGATTCCATTTAACCTCAGTAATCTGTTTTCTCAGCGTATTTCAGGTTGCTACTAGTTACCAGACACTCAACTTGTTTGTTGGTGGTGGGGCTTAAAGAAAAGGCACTAGCGTCACCCAGTGTATGAGCGTCTTTTTCCCTTGAGGAGCTCCGCTCTAGAAGCCTATGAGAAATGCATACACTGGGGTAAAATAGCCCCGCCTTCCCGCAGGCTGCAGCGGGATGTACTTGGAAAATTGTACCATAAAACCACATAGCGTTAATCTCACGTTAAAAAAATTATCGCCGTTAAAATGGCCTCGCGTTAACGCGATAATAACGCGATAATTTTGACAGCACTAATATATATATATATATATATATTTATATATATATATATATATATAAACTCTTCCTCACCCATGCGGGTGGTCTTCCCCCATTTTTTCCTCCAAGCTCGGGGCCTCTACCAGAGGCCTTGGAGCTTGAGGGTTCTGCGCAGTATCTTTGCTGTTCTTAGAACTGCATTCATCTGGACCGAGATGTCTGATGTATTTCCAGGGATTTGCTGTAACCACTATTCAAGTTTGAGGGATCACTGACCTGAAGGCCCCAATGACCACAGGTACCACTGATGCCCTGACCTTCCAGGTTTTCTCCAGCTCTTCTCTGAGCCCCTGGTATTTCTCTACTTCCTCAGGTTCCTCTTTCCTGATTTTGCAGTCACTTGGTATTTCTATGTCAACCACAACGGCTTTTCTCTGTTTTTTGTCCACCAAAATAATATCTGATTGGTGGGTGACAACTAACACAGCAAAGCATGGTGGTGGCAGGATCTTGATGTGGGGATGCCTGTCTTGGGGAGAAACAGGGAAGCTATTGATGGGAGGATAAATGAAGTTCAAGACAGGATAAAAAATAAAAAAAGTTGGATGTGGAAATAGAACAGAACCCGAATCACGTGTCCAGAAGGATACCTCTAAACACACAGCTGGTGTTTACAATGAAATGCATCAAGACATGAATTTATCAGAACAGCCTTGAGCTAAATTCAACTGAGAAGCTATTGCAGGCGTTACAATTAATGTTCACAGTTGCTCAGGATTCAGCATGAGCAGTTTTACAAAGCTATATCGGTAAAGATACTTAATTTGAAAAGCTGTCACAGACCAACCCAAAAGCTTGCTCCTCTAACTATAGTAAGGGGGGTTCATAAAATGACTGGGATGCTAAATACATCCCTGAGCATGCCAAAAAAACATTTTCCATCCACTTTACATTCATGTATCACTTTGAGTTGGTCTGTCTCAAAAACACAATTAAAGAAATTAAAGCTTTTGATAGTAATGTGACAAAAAAAAAAACAGAATACTTTTTTGAAGCCCTTTGGAGAGCAATTTTTATTAGCAAATTAAATATCTTAAAAACAAGACTTCCGCTGTTTTATTTCTGTTGAACAGGTTCCACTGTATTGCCAGTTTAGTTGTTTACCTGTAATTTCTCAACGTTGATAAAATGCTATTTAAGCAATTATAATGGCGTTATTAAGGAGACACTCGCGTGAGCTAACTCCGTTCCACGCAGCGGCCGTCTCCAAATGAGTGGCAGATAGATGCCAATACAATGAAATGCATCAAGACATGAATTTATCAGAACAGCCTTGAGCTAAATTCAACTGAGAAGCTATTGCAGGCGTTACAATTAATGTTCACAGTTGCTCAGGATTCAACATGAGCAGTTTTACAAAGCTATATCGGTAAAGATACTTAATTTGAAAAGCTGTCACAGACCAACCCAAAAGCTTGCTCCTCTAACTATAGTAAGGGGGGTTCATAAAATGACTGGGATGCTAAATACATCCCTGAGCATGCCAAAAAAACATTTTCCATCCACTTTACATTCATGTATCACTTTGAGTTGGTCTGTCTCAAAAATACCATTAAAGAAATTAAAGCTTTTGATAGTAATGTGACAAAAAAAAACCAGAATACTTTTTTGAAGCCCTTTGGAGAGCAATTTTTATTAGCAAATTAAATATCTTAAAAACAAGACTTCCGCTGTTTTATTTCTGTTGAACAGGTTCCACTGTATTGCCAGTTTAGTTGTTTACCTGTAATTTCTCAATGTTGATAAAATGCTATTTAAGCAATTATAATGGCGTTATTAAGGAGACACTCGCGTGAGCTAACTCCGTTCCACGCAGCGGCCGTCTCCAAATGAGTGGCAGATAGATGCCAGTCCGGGTCTTCCGGCCGCCCGGTCCTCTCCACTGAACTCCAACCCCCGCGCTCTCTATCAGCATCTCATTCCTGTCTCAATATGTCTCAAGATGGCGGCCAATGCAGGATCGATGTTTCAATATTGGAAGCGCTTTGACTTACAACAACTACAGGTCAGTTCAACCTCCCTTTTCACCGTCTAGCCTCTGCCTTCTTCGGGCTCTTGGCCGCTTTCCCGGGGCTGCATTTAGTGATTTTATTTCGGCGGCAGCCTCGTAGGTTGTTTCGGAAGGGAATCCAGGACCTCGTCCTCACATTGATGAAAGTGGCTCTCTCGCTGATCAGAAATTGATCCTCTTTGTTCAATTCAACATCGATCGGACACTGCAACCGGGCAAGCCGGGGCGACGCCGCGGGGGGATGCGCCGAAATAAAAAGGCTACTCGGCGGGGCTCTGGCTGCCGGGGGGAAAGAAGAAGCTTTTAGGCTGACGATCTTTATTGCGTGTTGTTCAACTTTTACCGGAGCGAGTAGTAGCCGTAGTTAGCCGCGACGCTTTAGCCGCTGTAAGGCTGGATCATTTTGGGGGGAAAAAAAATAAGTGCGACTCATTATACGGTGGCGCTGTGGTGACACCGACCGTTGAAGGCACACACAGAGGCTCTTTGAGGCTTTTTATGCTCTTTTACTTTGGCATTTTAGTAAGTTTAGGACACATTTAGCAACCTGAACGGCTAACGGTTTTGGAACAGTTTATATGGAAGTGGTTCAGGTGATAAACGCTTGATGAGCTCGGTCTTATTTTTTTGTGTTTTTTTCGCTTTCTGTCGGCATTCACACTTCACCGTGAGTTTTTTTTTTTTTTTTTAACAGACATTGCCACGTCCGTGGAAGTGGACAGGACGGGACAGTTTTACAACACAAATGATAGAAATGTGTCGGATCGTGACCTTGTGAATACGGATAAACTCCTTAAATGTATCCAAGCTCCACGCAGGAAATGTATTTAAAAACAACACGTTGGGCCTGAATATATTAGAGCGTGTTTGACCTATCACAAGACGCGCGAGACAATGCCACTGTTGTGTTTTTTTTCCTCCCGTGGCATTTAACACGCGTTGCTGAATTTCAAATCATAATTCATGAATATTAGTTGCCCGCTCGCCGTCGTCATTAACATAAAGATTGCATTATGTAGACTGTAGGCCCGATTGTTCATACATAATTTTGTAAGCTACCAAAAGCTTGAGGTTTTTAAACTTTTATTTGGGTCATGATGCCCCAGTGACTGGGTAGACAAAAGGACAGTGAGCAAGTCTACCCAGCGGGCTTTGTGTTGCACTTATGCCACATCATCAAGGCTTCACTTCTCCTATTTATTTGATCCTATTTGGTCCTCCTACTCATTGCCCCTTCGTTCATGCATTATGTAAAAAAAAAAAAAATCAGAGACAGCTTTCTCTTGTCTTTCTTCACTATCAGACACAGTGGCGGTTCTTGCATGAAAGATTACCAGGGCAGCCCCTTCCTTTAAGCCCCCCCTCAGAAATTCTAGTACTCCATACTCCTCCTCTTATGCGTTTTTCCTTCATGCTTGTCTCAATCTTTGGAGATCCAGCTGCCATATAAGCAGAGGAATTTCCTTTTCAGGCCTTTTTATTCATTTATAAGTAAGGGTTAAATTAAGCATTGGCTTTGCTTTTGTTTTTTGAACACTTAAGATTTACATAATCTGAGAAAGTAGGGCTAGTTACTTTAGTAATAGAAGTAAAATAACAATAATATTACATATTATTTTACATTTCTTAAAAAACTCCAGTTTTTTCGGTCTATAAATGTATCTGTAAGGCTACGTTCACACTGCAGGCCTTGATGCTCAATTCAGATTTTTTTGTGAAATCCGATTTTTTTTTTTCGCATTCCCGTTCATATTTCCAAATATATGCGACCTGTATGTGATCTCCTGTGTGAACTGCAGTCATACAACCCAAGTGTCCCGCAGGCGCAGTAGGGGACGCAATGACGTCACAGGCTGGCATGCTCTTTTTTCCCGGAAGTAAACATGGATGGTATTCCCGGTGTGCATCTAGCGGTCTTTTCCAACCACAAAAACACAATCTTTTCAATATGTTAAACATAAATACTGCTCTCCTGGCATCATAATCTGCCATGGTTGTTGTTTTTCTTGCCGCTTCTGCGCAGCAAGACGCATAATAGTGACGTTTGTCGGGTATTAATGACGTTCAGGTTGGATGAATGCGACCTGGCCGTTCAGACACAGGTCGCATTTGAAAAGATCAGATTCGCATCAGATTCAGGACCACATAGCCAAGTGGCCTGGGTCGGATAGGGAAAAAATCGGATCTGTGTTGTTAAGACAGCCATGAAAAGGCCAGATTCAGGTTGCATATGGGCAAAAAAAATCGGATTTGGGTCACTTCAGCCTGCAGTGTGAACGTAGCCTAAGTGGCATGTTCTTGAATGAGAGGGCATTCTTCAATCTTCCTTCCTTTACTTTTGGATTTTAAAGTGTTACTTCTGTCACAGAACCTTCAGAGCAATATGTAAACGTATATATTCTGTTTTGTGTCAGCATCCCTTAAAAAACCAACAATCCTTTTTGGTCACTGTTGGAATTTACTTGTTAGATACTTGGAAAAAGGCTGATCAATGCTACTGTGCCATCTATCACCCACCCCCTCCCAAACATCCTTGACTTCCTCTCCCTGCTAGCTTTTTTTTTTCCCTCCTCTCTCTGGCCCCTCACCCTACTTTCACCTATTTTGCTCTTTCTGATCTGCTGTATGCATGTTTGTTTATTTGAGAGAGCTGGTCGTAGATGCCCCTTTTTTTAAAATAGATTGACAGCCAGTACGGACAGTGGAGGCACTGCCAGCAGCTAGGACATGAAAAATGCATCGCATAAGTTTGCGATAAAGCCCTGGGTAATTATGGCAAAGGCCCCTATCACAAGCGATTAGTCAGGACGGTGAATCTGAGCGTGTGCAAAAAAGGGCTGGCGGTTGGCAGGCCTGTCTGCAGGATAGGAATCAGCCAGAGCTGGTGTGTTTTGTGTGTGTGCACGAGTGTGCAGAACTGCTCAGAACATTCACTTTCTATTATTGATGACATCTTATTTACTCTCCCTCCCACTGAGAGGCTCCTAGAGGAAATCCTTCAGAGAACAACCTTTTCTTCTCCCCCTCCCCTGTTTTTTTTAGGATAATATGTGGCATGATATGATCAGAACCTACACACAACCACATCGTCCAGTTGCTTCCTCCCTGCCATCGAATGGACATGGTGAACCACGCACTCCTAGCCTGCTTTCTTTCAGGAATGTTTTCTTTCTTGTTTTCTTTTTGAAGATGAAACTCCAACCCCAGCCGAGATGTCGGTAGCTTTAAGCAGTCATAGCGTCTGTTCCTCGCTCCAAATGCTGATGTTCATTAAAATCTTATTTGATCAGTATGTCCCATTCCCTGTGTGGGGAAACAAGCTAGGTGGTTGTTAGAGGACAGAGAGTGCTTTGAAACAGCACAGTAAGCTGTTAAGTTGTCTCTGCATGATTTTTCTTTTTTTTTCTCCTCCCCCCCACCACCACCACCACTACAAACACAAATGGGTGCAACTGTGATGCTTTTAGCAAGGTCTTGCACACTTGCAGAGTGGATCAGTGATTCAGAGATGATGGCAGGGTGACAGTGAATTACAGATGGAGGAGGTTTTAACGTCTGTAATCCCTCTCCGTCCATTACAGAGTTGAGTTTCTTTAGAGGAGGGGATCATCACTCTTTTCTCCTGTTTTTTTCTTTTTCTTCTTTTTTTGGGAACTAGTCGAGCAGTTTGCTGTAACATTGCATGTTGGCTTGAGAAATGGCTCTTCATTACAGACAGGCCTTTAATAAGATGCGGCTGGGTGAATAACCTTCCCTAAAACCCATACCTTTTGTTTTCCAGTTAAGTTGAGTAAATTAAGAACAGACCCTTAATCCCAGTTAAGGCCTAATAGCCCACATCTCACCTCGTAATATTTCCTAGAAAAAAAAAGAAGGAAAACACACCCCAAGAGTTCCCTACTTTAGCGTGGAACTAAACAGCGACTTAAAGGGGAAATTGATCCAGACGCTGTTCTTAATTCACCACCTCCTAATGGGTAAATTTAGGAAAAGGGTTTGGTAAGCTGATCCCAGTGCTGTGGTCAGTGGCAACCTGAGTGGTATAAATCTCTCAACGACTGGCTCACTGTTGTCTGCAGGAGTTGTAGTGTTAATTTATGAGCTGGTTGTATGAACCCACTGGCGGGATATTTTTACCCCTCTGTTGCTGCACAGGCCGGGGGAGCACAGAGGAAAGGGGGGGGGATCACGTCATGGTTCTACTGTAGCCAACTTGCCGCTCTGCCCAGTGACAGAACCTGGCATTGGGACTGAAGTTTCACTGTGTGGTGCTGAGCGACTAAGCATGAGTCAGAGAAAAAAAAAAAAAGACAAGTGCATGTCAGGTCTCCAGTCTGTCCTTGGATCTGCTCTGGTAGGGTCTTTGTCCTCTGTCTGTGGGGTTCTACTGTGAAGGCATCAGACATGCAGCAGACAGAGGAGGACGGGTGTCAGAAAACTGGAAAACGTTTAACCATATCAGCAAGTTTTTCTAGGGAGAATTTGTGTTTGTTGTCAAACTTTAGCTTAAATGGTTATCACCGACGTTTCTTCATTTAAAACCATGCTTAATGTGAGTCTATATGATAATGTGGGAATCAGATGGAGTCAGTTGAAAGAATATTTTTTACAAAAGCTTTTAGACAGGTGTTTAGTTTGAATGACAATTAGTTTCTATACATTTGAAAGTATTTAGAATAGGCTTCAGAGAAACAGTGGCTGCGCAATGTGCCCTGTTTGAATTGTAATGAGCTGTCCATGGCTATAAAACTCAGATAAAAGATAATTATAGAAGCCGCATCTAACACGTCTTCTGGTCAATAATGATCTCTGCTTGTCTGACTCGTCAATTCCCATTTTCCCTGACTATAATATTGTTGTTGCGATGGAAAAAGCCTGTTGTGGGTTAACCATTACTTCTAAGCACATTAACAAGCCACTGTCTGTTTCTTTCTCCCTTGCTCTCTAGATGTCATTTTCTCTAAGTGTTTGAGATATACAAACTCTTATAGAAT